GTCATATTTTTACAACAGATATGAGTTTTGTAAAAGTAAGAATTATAGTTTTGTATGTATTTTCATAGCCAGCCATGTTAAAATGTAAAAAAGGATCGAATTTATATATAAAACACCCCGTATCTTCTGTGTTTGGAAAAATAACTATAGCATGTGGTATATTGCTGAAAAGCAAAAAAAAATCTCCATTTTTTTAGGTCATAACCAGCTACGATTTCCATTTAAAAAATTATAACTTTGGGTCATAACTCCGGAATCTTAAGACCTACTAAAAATCTAATACCGGCATTCAATTCTACGCCAAAGAATTAGTCTTGAGCAGTTTTCACTTTAACTCTAACTTATTTAACAGCTGAGATACAGACATGTTCAAAAGTGTCACAATAACGAGAAACGCCCTGTAACTCAGAAACAAATGAAGATAACAAATTTCTGATTTGACAGTCGAGTTTGCCATGAAAATCGAGCTCGAGAACGTGGTGTCACATTTATCATATCTTTAGTAGTTTCTGAGATACCCTGAAATCCCATCGAAAATGGACCAGCCTGTACAATGTACACTTAATATTAGATATTAAAAAGTTATAGTCACTATTGTGTTTCTTTTTACATAGGAATCTGACGACTGCTCACTACAACTGTTCAACTTTTTTAAATTTAAATTTGCAGAATCTCTTTCTATTTTCCCACTGTAATACATATGAAATCTAATTTTTATATAAACTGTATTACATAGTTGAAAAGGGAATTTAAAAAAGAAAATCAGTGCCATAAAAATACACAGGGTGTTTAACAGAAATAACATTTTAGTGGCATTTCTCTGAAAATATTGAATTAAGAATAAACTAAATATGCTACAGCGTTCGATGGAAAAAAAGTATGGGACATCTGTATTATTTTATATAATATACATATATAGGGTGTTCATTAAGTATGTACAATAAATTCAACAGACGATTATTTGAGTGATTTTAATACAAAAAGTTCATATAAACATTGGTCCGCAGATGCTTCATTTTCAAGATCTTTTTTATAAAAAAAAATGCTATTTCGTAAACATCTTAAACACCGTTTATCCAATTTTGTTGTAATTTGGCAATGTTATTTGTTATTTGTAGTGTTAAGGAGCTAATTTAGCCCTAATTTGATTAGATTTGTTAAGTCCATCGACGTCCCGAACGGTACCTTCGGCTTAATTTTGGCCGAAGGTACTAAACTTTAAAAACTATAAATTTATCAAAATTGCAAATCCTAAGCCTACGATATTTTTTAATGTTTGAGAACTATATTGTAATATGTATTTCTATCCAAAATCTAATAACAGGACTAGTTTATTACTTGACTTGGTACACTTAATACACTATGATTTTTTGATTTTAGAGAAATTAAAAAACAAAAAATAAACAAACAAAAAATAAACAAACAAAAAATAAAATAAAATAGAACGAATTTAAAAGTGAATAAATCTCAATGGGAATTGGTATAGAATAATTTTGACGGAAGTAGAATGACATGTTTTCAAATTTAAAAAATTGCTATTTTTCAAAAATTATAGAAAAAATTGATTTTAAGGATTTGCAATTTTAACAAAATTATAGTGTCTAAAAAATATGTTTATTCCTGTGGTTTTTTTTATATTTGAACTTCATTTGCCTTTTATTTATTATTTATTATGTTAATAGCCTGTAGGTACACCTATAAATTGTGACATCCTCCAAATTTTATAAAATACTATTTATAATTATAAATTACAAATAATGTTTTTATTTACTATTATTAGGGACTTTAATTATTTAATAATTTAATTAATTAATAATCATTTATAGATAATTCAAATGTTTTTACATCTTTCTTACCATTGTATTGAGTTTTCAAGGAATCCCACATATGTACATTATTATCATCTGACCCACATAATAATATTCTACCACTAATAGATAAGCCACAAGATGTAAAACCACTATTAGGTGTGGGTGGTTTATACACAGCAATTTGTTGGTCACTTCGGATATCAAATAGTCGTGCTGATTTGTCTTCAGATCCTGTAGCAAATGCATAACCACTTGGATGAAACTAAAATTGTAACATATAAATTTTGTTTGAAGCACTTCAAATTCTTGCTGGAATGAAAACAGTGTTCTACCTATTGTTTTTTAATGATCCAAACCATAGGATCGTAGTTCTTTTTGTATGAGTCATGCAAAAATGGATCACATTTTAGCCAAAATTTATTTCAGCAAGAACATTTTTTTCATTAATAGAAAATAGTAAAATAGTAAAATTATATTGTACTTCAATCATTGAGTTTATAGGATACAGGATCGTGTTCAGCGCATCGAATTCCTTCGAAAATGATATGTGGCTCTCTTGGGTTTGGACTTTTTGGACGGTAGAATATTTTATTTTTTATATTATCCTCAAAAAAATAAGACAAGAGAATAAACGAGAATATTTTAATTTTTACCATGATTATAGGGGAAATCTAGGTACATTTTGGACAGCAAATGTGTTTTCGTAGTGGTATTTTTTGTAAGCTTTTCTACCTATTGATTGGACTACAAGCTTTATTAATGTCAGTGGGGTAAAAATTTTTATCAAGATTCCTGTTAAACAGTAGTTAGGGTTCCGGGTAACAAAAATTGTTACATTGACTTTTTTTTATTATAGAAAAGGTGTAGATTAATAAAACTTTAACTAAGATAGCGTAGAAGTGTTTAAAGAATAATTTTGAACTGAAGTGGGAAAAATATGTATAAAAGATATAATATAAAAAATTGTGACCATTTCCTGTTATTTCCTGGATTTTGATCAACAAATTAGCCCATTTTTATCTATTTTACTTATTTCTAATAAAATGTCACTAAAGCAGTATGAAACGATCTATAGAAAGCCTATATCTGGTTTGGATCATCCGGATATCTTTATTTTTATTTGTTTCTTTTTAGTATTAAATAATGATTTTTCTATACACTTTTAGAATGGGTATTAATTTAGTATTAAAAGGTTTCGCTTTGTATATGAGGAAATAAATAATGTACATACACACACTGAGTTAACATCTGCTTCATGTCCAAAAAACGTTTGTTTGGGTTTTTCTTCTCGTATGTCCCATAATCTACAGGTTTTGTCTACACTTCCTGTCACAAAACTGTTTCCATCAGGTGATAAACTAATAGATACTACATCTCCATTGTGAGCTATAAAGTCAGATGTTTTCTTTCCTGTTTCTAAATCCCACTTGCAGCTATAAAAAAGAAAAAGTCATTGAAAGAACAGAACAGAAATTATATTAGAAAAATATCTACATACCATTTCTTTATATTTTGCACTCCACAAATGTCGCCAAGGTATCAAAGCTTGCTTTTAAATTGAACACCTTGTACATTTTCACATAATCAATAGAACATAGAACGACAGAAAGATGTGATATATGATCAAAAGAGCATGATTATAAATCTAACATATTAGAATTTTTTTTCGTTTAACCATACCCTTTACTATAAGAGATAAACCTTATTCATAAGAAAGTTCTATTCGACTATGGAAAAAATATAGGTTTGCAATAGTTAATGTATTTTGACAGCTTTGTTGATAAAAATAATAGCGGTAGGTGGGGTGCAAAATATGTAGGTACCTACATACTGCAGGAGATACTGAAAATTGATATTTAATTTTAAATTTTACAAAATATATTTTGTATAATATGGTAATATGAGACAATTTAACCTCGAATTTAACAGCTTTTTAATGGATCTTAAGTCTATATATTTTAAAACTTATAAATTGTAATAGAATTAAAATAAACTTAGAAAAAATTAACATTCTCACATTTTCATGTCACCTGATCCTGTGATAATTGATTTATCACTTAGAAAACGACAAGAACTAAGAAATCCATCATATCCAGCTAGTTCTCTAACCATTTTAGCTATTCCATTAGCATCCTTATTATTTAAGTCGTAAATTGTACACATGTTGTCCATTCCACCACAAGCTAAAAATTAAGACGCAGCATATATTTTTTGGTGCAAATACTGAGTCGCATCTATTTGAATAAGTTTGAAAAGTAAAATGATAAGTATTTTTTAAATTGTGCCATATCTAAATATCAATTACTCTAAAGATCCCTGAAACACAGGGAGATGTTGAATAAACAATTGAAAATTTTTTTTAATTTTTATTTACTTCCATATTTTTAGAGGATTTGTTCTACTTCCTGTAAATATTATGTGAAAGTAACAGGTAGGTATGTATGGCATTTCTTAAAAATATTTGACAAAAACAACCTCTGATTCCTCCAACTTGCAGTTTGGCAAGATATGCAAAAAACTTCCTGTAAATATAGACAAAATATGTCTAAGGTCTTTTGAAGTCGAGTTTTGACTACAGTGTATATCAAAAAATAACTGGCGGTAATTTAACATAGGTACTGGTAGACTATTTTGATGGTGCACATACCGTAGAATAGGGTAAATTGTAACTGAGGCGTCAGTAGAAACAAAAATGATAAATGCAAAATAATTCCTGTGGTTTGCTTTATTTCCCTATAAGTAATAATTTGATAGGGAAATAACTAGAAAATAAATAAACACGGCTCATAAGCATGGTGAAAATAAGTATAGTGAATATTTTTAGAAATACGTTTTATTTCACTAATTACATTTTTGTCATCCATATTATCTAATATACATGTAATATGAAGATGGGAACAAAACTTAAAAGTTTATTCTAGCCATGAAATGACAGTTCAACCTCCTCCACGTATACTCATCAATACTTATATTCTTGAGATATAAGCTTTCAGTCTATTCCTTTTTCCCAATTTTTTTCTTTGAAAATTAGTTTTTTTATTCAGATCTTATACATATGTCCACTCTACTAAACAGATACGGGGTATTCCATTACAAAAAATCAAGTTTAGATAGTTCTCATTGGACCAAACTCGGTATTGAATTATCACCACCCTATATAAGATTCGGTAACTCTGAAGATATGGTAATGCAGCTTAGGTATTTAGCTCCTGCTCCGGCAAATATTGTTGCTTTATCTATCTAACTATAGAATTCACACGGCTTTAAAGTAGGTAGGGATAATTTTAAGAATGGGAATTGATGAAGTCACCTTAAGATGAGGCGCAGAATCCAAAAATTTACAGAAAATTTAAAATAACAAAGTGGACGCTAACTTCCGGTATAACCGGAAGCGATACAAGATCAAAATTATTATATTTGAAAAGAGCACACCCAAACAAATTTTTGACACCATGAACGCTCATTAAAAGTCGAAAGCACAGTTTGGGAAGTGATATAACATATTTAAACCGTTTTTTCTACCATTTTTAACAGAAAACTCAGATCTATCAAATTTTACTGTTTAAATTTGAAAATAGCAACATGTAAAAAATTTTACCCGAGCCCCCCCCCCCCATCTTGGACACCCATAACAAATTTTTCTAAGAACTTTTCACGTTGTTTTATTACAATGTATAATGATATTACATATCAAAATTTATAATGGTACATGTACCTATTTTAGCTATTTAAGAAATTTTTTTTTAATTTTATTAATGTATGTAATGANCAAAAGCAGTTGAATTTGCCGATATAAAATAGGTGCGATAAAATTCTATTTACATATTTCTTTCCTTGCGAAAGTTTTTGTCCAATTTTATCACACCGCCATGCCGGTCGCATTGTGCGAGGTCAGGTTTTACAGTGGACCAGTTTCCAGTGCCATGCAGAAATGTATTTTTAAATCATTTTCGAACTGCCCTTTTTGATTTTTTCTTTACAAAATTGTATTTATAAGGGTCCCCTGTACATCCAGAATTTTTTTTTTGGATAAGTTCTGAATCAACCTGTATATTTTTCGGTCATCTAAATGGATAAGTATTCGAACTAAATAAAGCCATACGACATTATTTTTAAAATGTACATGAAAGCATGTCTTAGAGCTCTTTCACATTTTTTAACAGACCAGTAAACTGACCAACCGATGAAATTACCGGATACTGTATAAACAAACTGAGTTGTATTGAGCATTCACGCTTATCGACATCCGTAAAAAAATCGGTGCGGTACCGGTTTACCAACGGATGGGTTTCTACTCACAGACCACCTAGACTGGCCATATCTAATTCCAATGCACGGGTATCAGTGAATGCAAAATCCGGGGAGTGGAGTGTGGAAGGCAATCTGATCGCGCGCATCTTTAAGCAGATCCGGATTAAGTAATATTTTTATTACATATTAAACATTATATTGCATCTTATGACAAATATTCAATTTTAAAATTGTAATTCAGAAAAACTAATATTTGCCTTTTCGTAGATTTTACCGAATTAAATAATTTGACTTCATGATTTATTCGTACATCGATACACTTTTCAGATTCAGCCCTTACAAGTTATATTAAATGATTACAATTGTTAGGTAAATTATCAAATTGATGTTAATGCAAATTTTCAAATATGTTCGCATTCAGAAAGTTTTTTAATACATGATAAACAATTTTATTTTTCTGTAGCCTAGGTGTTCTGCTTTCATTATTAAAAAATTTTATTAATTTTTCTGTTTCTTGGCATATTACTACGACATCTCGAGATGGATACCTCAAACAACCACGATATTTAATAAAAATTAATTGACTGTACGAATACTGTGTATTTGACATTAAACTATTTACACAGTCTTCACATTTTATTGGCTTTATTAGAGAACTTGTTATTATTACGAAACCGCCAATATATACTATAATGTACTTGCTAATTATTTTTTTTTGTCACAAAACTCTCTGATTTTTTCTAATCACATTTTGCCGACTCTCCTTTTCCAGGGTATTGAACATGAATTTGAAATTAGTTTTGTTTGCGATTTTTTCAATTGAAAAAAATATTTTATTAATTTTCAGCTATCTCGAAATGACGGGAATTGGTAAAATTTCATAAAAACTTGAGACTCACATAAAGTAAATAATTACTAAAAATATTTTACAGTAATTCATTCATTATTTTATAATAACAATATCACGTTAATCACTACACTATGTGGGCGAACAAAATTATAAAGCTAACCCTGGAAACTTGTGACGT